ATATTTAAGAAAATGTAATAGATTATTGATCCAAAAATGAGCTGGTTTTCTGGGGACTAGGGCATTGCAACTGAAACAGAGATTTTTCCAAACGAAAGCAGGTAAGAACTAAAATCCTTCTTTCAATGTATAAAAAAAGGCAGCAAGCCTGTAATTAATAACCCATTAACAGAAACATCCAGTTTGGAAACATACAATTTCATCAGCAAATGATGAATCTTCGAATTAGACTAGCATTCTCCCTTTTTTATTAACTGGAAATATATCATTAAAGGATATTTGCAGCTTTTCAATTTGACTATCTAGTAAAATTTGATGCTGATTTAATTAAATACATCAAACAATCTGGACATTAGCAATAGGAAATAAATGGTTAATGGCAATTAAGATCCTGAACTAATGAAGTATCCTCAAGGAATTTCAATGTAACTTGTTGTGGACTTGAAAGCAATTAAGTTAGTCTGCACAAGCGAAGATAAAGTGCTTAGCAGAGGGAAAAGTAATTATGAAGAGTTGGCGCACAACACAACCATGCAATTTTTTATGCTCAAAGTAGAATCATTTTTATTTAAAGCATGGAAATTGTTATGCAGTGTTGTGAATCAACTGATAAGGCTAGACCTCAGGCATACATATCTACCAGTTCTCAACAGGGACAGCCCATTCAGAGACCACAACCTTTCCATGCTTTTTGTGAGGAATTTCTGAAAAAAGCATAAAATGAGCTACCATTGAGTTTTTTTGTCATGTTAATACTATATTGTCGAATGAACATAAAATGGTCTGTGTTTTAAGATATCTTGAAGTTGGGTGTAAAGTGCATTTCATAACGGGTGTGAAGCCAGCTCCAAAAATATAATCTTAGTGATTTTAGCTTCACACTTAATGCATTAATGGTCACTGCCTAGCAAAGTTTAAAATGTGATCACCCACTTTGGGGGAGGTAAGGTGTCCTTTGGAATTATTAAACTAGAAGCATATGCACATTAAAAATTGCAAAAACCCAATAATTTCCAACTATCAGAAGCACCTGTCAAAGGGGCCAAGGCCCTGCCAAAAACATTTGTGAAAGAGAGCTGTCAAGCTGCCAAGGCATCTAAATCCAGTGCTTTATATCTTTGAAAATAAAATATCTAGGGTTTTCACATAAAAGAGTGCTTGCTATTTCACTCTACCACTTGACATAAGTCCAAAGGTTTCCATTACTGGATGACTCTGCCTGACTGTTTTCACAGCCATCCACAATCAAATCAGTGTGTTGACCATTTTACAGTTTTGCAATTGACAGCTGCAAGCAGTTATAGAATCATTGATAATGGAACGATGACTTCCAATGCTTGCTGTCATAAGAGATTGTGCACTTGAATGAAATACTTGTTGTTTTATTATTTATTTAGCTGAAGAACTGTAACTGTAGTAAATGAGTTATGTGGGGGAGGCAGTCGCATTGTGGTTATATCAGTGATATATAATCCGGAACCCTCCAATAATGTTCGTGTGTTTAAAGTTTTTCTCCAAGCGGAATGCGAAACATAGATATTGATCAGGTCATTTGCTAAAGGTACCTCAGGAAGTCACTATCTTGAGAACACCATTCAGAAGATATTGCCTGCACAGACTACATTTTGGTTCACTGGTCAGTCAAGATCTGTTCCAGCAGTATAGAGAGAATAGCAGAAAATATTCCTGGAGTGTACAGTATTGCCGATGATATTCAGTTGAAGTCCTAAACCAAAGAAATGTAGAACCATAATTCAAATTCACTGATTGTAGCATCTTGTTTTCAATGGCAAGAAATTCCAGGTGAATCACCTAAATCAACTTATTTGGCTTGATCTACTCAAAGATGTATAGCGCACGTCTACTCTCTGTGGTAAAGAAGATCTACAGAGTTTCCAATTTTTGAAAAATCATCCTGGCAATATACATACCAAACTTTTTCAACATCAATACATCTCAGAAAGGGCTAAGAGTGTGCACCATGCAAGATGGCAAACCAATTGCATTTGGATTCAAAATGCTATTGCAAGCCCAATCCAATAATACTAACAGAGTGTGAAACATTTGCCCTGGAATTCAGTATCACAGGTTCCATACGTATCTTTTTGGTAGGGATTTCACAGTAGAAACTATAAACAAATAGAAATGACATGACATAAATCATTGATGGGTTCACCACTCAGACAACATTGACTTCTAGTAAAGGTACGGGGTTAAAGCTTGGATGTCTGCGATAAACCTGGTACCAAAATATCTAACTTGGATACACTAAGCATATTACCGAATTCAAATAAGAATACACTGGACTTGCAAGTAGGCAGTACAGACATCAAGTTGAAAGATGTGCTTAAAACTGCATTGATGAAATTTGGCCAGCACAAATTCAATCAATTTCAGAAAGCAACACCAAATGATCCGTGAGTGCAGGCACTATGGATGATTATCATAGGAGGTCAGCCGGCATAATACAAGAGGTACCAGATACTCTCTGATGAACTAAGTATTTCAAGAGGCATAATGATTAAAAAGGAACAAATGCATGTACATGAAATTCTTTACCAGTGCATATTGTCACAGATACATCAGGGATTATTGGGCATAGAGCAACAAGATGCCTAATGTGGAAAACTATATGGCCATAAGTCAACAATGAAAATATACAAAGCATGGTGGAGTAACCACAGCAATAAAAGGAACCTGTACACCCTCACAAGATTCTATCAGTCCCTTTGTCTAAAATCACATCAGGTTATTCACAATACCTGGTGAAGATTTTCTCCTGGTGACTGATTATTTTTCCAAATTTCCATTAGTCAGAGAATTAAAGGACACCCGAAGTGCATCCACGGCTGATACATGAGTGTAAAATTCAATTAATTCAGTAAACCTGAAAAGATTGTAACTGACAATGAGCCACAATATACAGACAGATATGTTTACCAAATGAGGCATAAACCATGTGAGAGACTCACCACCTTATCGCAGATCCAACAGTTTCACCAAACAAACGCTTTGCAATGTTAAATCACTAATCAGGAGTCACAAGGCAACAAAACATGATTATATTGCCATGCTACACCTAAGAGCCAAACTTCTGGATATGGACTTCCCGTTGCCAGCAAAGATCATACTTGGAAAGCAAGTTATGAAACTCTGCCAAGTTCTCATATGCCCAAGGTCTCAGAAATATAGGACAAACTCCTCAATAAACAAGGGATATGAAGATGGTACATTAAGATGAAACTTGCAGACATAGAACTGCCTAGTCTACACGTGGGACATATAGTACATGTCATTCACGTTCTATTCAAGGAAGATGCTCATCTGCAAAGGGATTCAAAGTGTGCAGCAAGCCTAGATCTTACAAACACCCAACATCTAATAGAGCAATCAGAGATAGTAAGAACTGTAGATGCTGGAGTCAGAGATAACACAGTGTGGAGCTGGAGGAACACAGCAGGCCAGGCAGCATCAGAGGA